TGGAAGATTCTCCCTGCAAAATCTCCGTGACTGAGACAATGCTCTTGTTGGGCAGCATAATAATGGCTCTAATTTAAAATGGAAAATTCATTTCAGCACCAACAGCACCCAGACCACCAAACAGTGGCCGAGAGACTGTCAGATACTTGTAACGGTGCTCAGAGAGTGCATTCGGGGAGCACTACATTCAGGGACAAAGGGAGTGATTTCAAGTAGCACCAGAAGCCTCTCTCAGGCCTGGGCCTCATGCTTTGCCTTGTACATGCAGTGGAAGACACCCGCTAAGATTTCCCAGGGTATTTAGGCATTGCTCCACTCAGCACTGCATGACAGGTCTCATTTTCAAAAGCGATGTATGCACTTGGTAGCCTACATCCCATTGACTGGCACTAAAACATAGGCTCTACAGCCTAGATCCTAAAAGGTATGTGACACTGACACAGCCCTCATCCAGGGTTGGTTGGGAGGGTGGCATCACCTAGTGGTCAGGGCTTAGGCCAGTGACCTGAAGTGGGGTTGATGGTAGGGAAGCTGGGGTGATCTCACCCCACTTCCTACCACATCCCTGCAATTGTCCCCAGGTTGCCATCTGGGTAATGCAGCGTAAGGGCAACTGCTCCTCCGGTGGTATGGCCCAGCTCAGTCCAAGGCTTTCCCCTACTGCGGTAGTCCAAACAAAAATAAAGGGGATCAATCCAGTCCAGAGTTCATAGGCATGGGCAGCAGGTAGAGTAGGCCAGGAGAGACTCTGACTCCCCTGGTGCTGCCAGATGGCCGGTTGTGGGTTTGGTGGGGGGAGTTTTTGTTTTATTGTACCCCATGCAGGTTCCCAGGCAGCTGTGGCAGCGATATGTGCTATTCAACTTCCTGGGTTCATCAGTAATCTCCCTGGACTCCAGAGAGATGACTGATGAACCCAGGAAGCCGAGTAGCAAACACCACTTCTATAGCCACCCCAGAACCTGCACGGGATATATCAAAAGCTCAGGTTCCTCTTCAGAAGAGATGCTGTGGTTTTTCCTGGGCAGCTTGGGGAAGGTACAAGCCCAGGGCTCCTCTGAGCAGGTGGCGGGGGGCCTCCAGGCTTCAACCAGCCTGGGGTTCCTCCAGCCAAAGGGGGTCCAGTTCAGGGCTCCTCCAGGAGTAGGGCTCATTGTTCCAGCCACGGTGAGGGGGCAGCATGCAGAAGGGGCAGAACCAGGGACTAGCCTCCTCAAAGGGGGGACTCCACACACGTTCATAGGCAAGAGGAATGCTTCCCGCACAGGCTGTGTCTGCAGCAGGCCCTTCCTTCCCTCAAGGAGGGACCTATGGACAGTTATTTAGGGAGAGGAGTGGCCTTGCCTCATAGACTTTAAGGTCAGAAGGGACCATTATGATCATCTAGTCAGACCTCCTGCACAACGCAGGCCACAAAATCTCACCCACTCACTCCTGTAACAACCCCCTGACCTATGCCTGAGTTACTGAAGTCCTCAAATCGTGGTTTAAAGACCTCAAGGTGCAGAGAATCCTCCAGCAAGTGACCAGTGCCCCACGCTGTTGAGGAAGGTGAAAAACCTCCAGGGCCTCTGCCAATCTGCCCTGGAGGAAAATTCTTTCCCGACCCCAAATATGGTGATAAGCTAAACCCTGGGCACATGGGCAAGACTCACCAGCCAGCACCCAGGAAAGAATTCTCTGTAGTAACTCAGATCCCATCCCATCACAGGCCATTGGGCATATTTATCGCTAATAATCAAAGATCAATTAATTGCCAAAATTAGGCTATCCCATCATACCATTCCCTCCATAAACTTATCAAGCTTAGTCTTGAAGCCAGATATGTCTTTTGCCCCTACTGCCCCTCTAGGAAGTCTGTTCCAGAACTTCACTCCTCTAATGGTTAAAAACCTTTGTCTAATTTCACATCTAAACTTCCTAATGTCCAGTTTATATCCATTTGTTCTTGTGTCCACATTGGTACTAAGCTTAAATAATTCCTCTCCCTCCCTGATATTTATCCCTCTGATATATTTATAAAGAGCAATTATATCTCCCCTCAGCCTTCTTTTAGCCTCTTCTCTACTAGTGATATAGGTCTACTCTCTTCCCTAGTTTGCCCCCAAATGAGCGGCTCTCCTGCCTTTTAACTCCTCCTCCAGTTGGTGCATTTCCTACAGATGTGGCAGGGCAGGGCTGGCTGAGCTCAGAGCAGTTCCTTAACCCCTTGTTTCCCAGTGTGGGGCAACCTAACGACCTTTGAGGTTCTGGGCCCAAATCACTTAGGCCTTGCAATGCTGAGTGGAGCAATAGCTAAATACCTTTAAAAATCTGTGCCATGTTCTCTTCTGTGGACAATTCCACTAACAGGAAAGCTATAAATGAACTGAGGAAGCTTATTGGTACCAACTGGGCCAGAGAAACTGCCCCAGCCTCTTCTGGAGTGGGCAGGAAAGCAAAATAATGCATCAGCTATCAGCACTCTCCCCTCTTAGATTGTTTTACTGACAAAAACCTTCTACACTGAAAATGTTATTAGGGAGCTGGAATGTAAAGGTGCTCTCCAGAGAGAACAACTGGACCACTATAAGAATATGAAGCTTTATTATTATTTGTATTACAGGAGAATTTAGAAGCCAAAATCAGAACTGGAATCCCATCGTGCTAGGTACTGTCTTAACACAGATTAAAAGGCCTGCCCCAAACAGCTCATAATCTGAAACTAGATTTGCCAGCCCTCCAGGATTGTCCTGGAGTCCCCAGGAATTAAAAATTAATCTTTAATTAAAGATTGTCATGTGATGAGACCTCCAGGAATACATCCAACCAAAATTGGCAATTCTGCAATTAGCTCACAGCCCTCACTGGGCAAAGTAGAGAATGCAGCTGTGCGATTGGTCTCCTGAGCGGTCTGTCAAGTGTGTCCAGTCCCATGATGACATCATCACAGGAATATAATGGTTAAGAGAGGGATTGGTCCTAGTATTGGTGAAGGATTAGTAGTGTTGATACTTGGTAAGATGTGTGGCTAAACTCTGTGAAATGTCTCTGGTTCCTAGGTTCTAGGGGTGTTTAGATGGGGGCTCTTTTCTTACACAGAGTGGGACCTGATGTTTTGCCTGATTGATAGTAGTAGTTAGGATTGAATGATCAGAACCTCTTAGTCCCTTTCAGTGCTTGGTAGCTGTGCTTGTGTAAAGTATCTCTAGGTGATAGCTGGGTCTCCTGAGCAAACAGTCCAGGGAAAGAAACTATCTGTCTTTCAGACCAGGTTGCCTAGATTAATGGTATGTTCTAGAAGATGGAGGCTTCCCTAGAGGAGAATGGAATATTTAACAAGGAGAACTAAATTAGAGCCTGGGCCATGGAAAAACTGTCCACTTACCTCTCTACATGAGCGAAGCTGTGCTGTTCCCATTCATGGATGGGGATTGGGACTTCTGGCTGTGGTCTGAGTTCTGGTGTGTCATAACGTTCTGCAGGTGGAAACACTTGGCTGAGGTGGCTGATTCAGCTGGGACTGGGGTGCTGGGTAACCAATATGTATCTCAAACAGATAATGCAGGAAACACTAAAGGAAAACCGGCCTGGTGCCTTCCCATAAGGGAAATGCTTTCTGGCCTCACTCTCACCTCTAGGGGTGATGGTGTCAATTTACCACAACTGGAATCTGTTTTTTTTTTTTTAACCAGGTCAGTCTTAACTGATAATAGAAAATACTTGTATTTTACCAGCTAAATTGGCTTTAAAATAACCAGTCTGCCATAGTGGAGATCTCCTTTGTAATTAAATATCCAGGGAGACTCATTCTAGCTGTCCTAGAGGTCCCTGAACACTCACTAATGGTACCTTCTCAATTCAATGTTCTGCGTGTGTAGTCAATGACTGCTACCTTCAGCAGGATAATGTCTCTCGGTGATTGTACTCTGGTACAAATGGAATTAACCCCTGGCACTATCTGGGAAAATACTGAACTAGGAGGGTGCCTGTGATGCACTGTGCAGCTGTCCTGGTGCTCCCCTTGGGAGGCATTGCTGGGTCTCTAAGTCTGAATAGAAGCTTTGGGAGTGTGTAACACCGACAGACCCTGGTTGTTGGTGGGCGGGATTGAACCTGGGACCTCTGGAGCTAAATGCATGAGCCTCTACTGCATGAGCTAAAAGCCATCTGACTCTTAGCTAAGGCAGTAGAGCAGACACATTAATCTCTCTCTAACTGGTCTTGGTGCCACTAGATGGGACAGAACACCACACCCAGAGGGTGTAGGTTACAAGTGCATCCCTGGACTTGAGGCTGCACTCTGGGCCTGCCTTGGATCAAAGGTTTAATGCACTGGCCTGTTCTCTCTGTAGAGAGAGATGCACTACAGGGGCACAACCTGGTCTGGCTCTTAGAGAAAACAGAACTGGAGCAGCTCTCCTGGTGTTCTTACCCAATATTGATTCTATTGTTTCCTGCTGTAGCCTCTCAATATTCCTTTTTGGGTCTTGCGGGGACATCTCACTCCACCATGTCTGCTAACGAAAACGAAACACAGGTAGAGATCCAGGCACAGGATCAACAGGTGGGTCCCTCCTGGGGAGGCAGGTGTGCTTGGCAGCTGGAGTTGCTGTTCTACCTTGAATGTGCCCATTCCTGGAGATGGGGACTCATAACCACAATAGTAGCCGATGCTTCAAGTTCTAATTCTCAGAGTCACTGCCCAGAAGTGCCTCCTGAAGCCAGGGTGAGCACTGGTACTGGTGATCCTGTGAAGGCTGTCTGCGCTGTAACACTGGCAAATCCCTTTGACAGTAGTGCCCAAGGTTCCCAAAAAGGAGGGGGGCATTGTACCAAGTGCTGAACAGACATGGCTCCTGAGCAGGAGACACTGCACTTGGTAAGACAAAAGGTCGCTCCGTTCCTGCTCTCACTGACGGAACGAGATTGTGACACCGTTCTGTTTTGTTGGTGGGCGTGCCAGGACGCAAACAGCATTCCTGAGATCTTGCTGAATATAGGTAGCTGTTCCAATGGAACCAGGCTTCTGAGGACAGTCTCCTACATGTCCTACAGAATCAGTAGCTGCAGAAGGAAAGAGACGGGGGGCACCTTGACAAGCCAGGAGCTCTTCCCCAGCTGACTCCCCTTTCCCTCCCTCAGACTGCAGTGGGCAGGGTGGCTGGCCTGCCCTTGGTCAGCTCTGCCTATGAGATGGCCTCTGCCAACTATGTGGCCACCAAAGAGACCTACCCAGCCATCAAAGCTGTCTGTGAGGTGGCAGAGACTGGGGTGAGGGCCATCACCTCTGCTGCCATCGTCGGGGCACGGCCCATCCTGGACCAGCTGGAGCCACAGCGTGAGTAAGGGAAGGGAGCAGGAACACTCCTGTGTGCGTGGCAAGGGAGGTGGGTCTGGGTGCAGGCTCCACCTACAGTGGCTCTAGGCCCACTACTGAACTCTACCTCCAACTGGCGGCAAACAGAATCCACCGACTCCCTTCTACTGCTCCACTGAACTCTGCTAGCTCCTAGAAGTGATCTGGCCAAGGCATTGTGCTGAGCTGGGCCAGTCTAGAGGGAGGCAGTGCCCAGGCACAATCCTTGGTGTGCGTGGCTGGCCCAGTGCCCCACAGCCACATGCACTGTGTATGGCACCTAATGCCATGGAGCAATACTTGCTAGAAGGCACTGGAAACAGCTCCAGTGCTAAAGGGATCTGAGCCCATTACAGGCACTGGAGACTCCTGAAACCCTCTAGGAGAAGCTGGGGGTGATTGAACAGACAGCTGGGATCTCCTGAGTGCTAAACCTGGCTCTGACACAGACTGGCTCCATAGCCTTGGGCAACTTGCCCAACCCCTCTTCCTTGGCGTCCCCATCAGTAACCTGGGGACACTTGCTTAGGAACACCAGTCCCTCAATGTACACAGATTAGCAGCCCCACAAGATCTGTGCACATGAAGGAATAAAGGGAACTAGTTCTGTGGTTGTGTTACAGTTGCAGCAGCCAATGAATACGCCTGTAGGGGTCTGGACAGACTGGAGGAGCAGCTGCCCATCCTGCAGCAGCCGATTGAGAAGGTAACTACACTAGTGTCCAGGCTGGTTCTGGAGCAGGCTGAGGCTGTGGGCCCTTCACTTCCACTAGGTGTTCAGTGACCTCTCCTGACACCTTTTCCTCTAGGTGGCTTTGGATGCCCAAGACCTAGTGCATGCCACAATGGTGGGTGCCAAGGATACAGTCTGCAGCACGGTCACTGAGGCGAAGGATGCAGTGACCAGCATGGTGGGCGTGGCCAAGGGGGCTGTTCAGGAGAGCGTGGAAGTGACCAAATCTGCAGTGACCAGTAGCATGAGCACAGTGATAAGCTCCAGCATGGGGCAGATGGCTGCGAGTGGCATAGACATGGCACTGGCAAAATCTGAGCAGTTGGTGGACCACTACCTCCCCATGACAGAGGAGGAGCTTGGTAAGAACCCCTTTGGTTTGTATTCAGCAATGTGACCCTGGTGTCTTGGGGCATGGCTTAGACTCCCAGCGTTCACAGCTGAGCTGCCAAACGAGCCACCTCTCCTTGGGGTTCCCTTGCAACATGGCTTGGCTTCTAGGCCTCCCCTTGTTCCTTCATGTTGGGCCCTCTGCTAGCCCTGCCTGATGGAAGGAGGCTGGACTAATGGCTTTGATGCTGCTCCCTGTTCAGTTACCCGCTCTCTGGCTGGTCAGTGCCGCAGGACATCCAAACATGCCCTGGGAAAGATTCTGTAGGCCACAAGCTTTGGGAGGTCTGAATGCAGCTGCCTAGGTATCCTGGCCCTGCCAACCAAGTAGATTTTTAACTCTTACCAGTATGATGACTCATGGGAGGGACCCAAAGGTGGGGACATGTGACACCCCCCCCCACCACACACACACACACAACCCCACCCTGCCCTGGGGGGGGGGGCTGTACAGCCCCTAGACAGGAGATGCAGCTGCATGGAAGGGATGGTGGGGCAGCTGGGGGTGGTACAGCCACACCAGAGGAGCTGCTGGTGTTCTGCTCCTTTTGCTGCTGTGATTCCCGGGAGAGCCCTGCAGTGTTCAGCAGATGCTAAATGTCTTTCTGGTATGGCATACCAGCAATAAATGTCTTAATGGTACGGCGTACCTGACCGTACTGGCTTACTTGCACCACTGCTGCCAGCTGACCCTCTTTTCCCCCTTCCAGCTGAGCTTGCAACAGCTCCCGTGGAGGGGCCGGGAGAGACTCCTGCAGAGCAGCAGAGTTACTTTGTGCGTCTGGGTTCCCTTTCGAGCACGCTGCGCCAGCGAGCCTACCAGCACGCCCTGGGCAAGATGAGACAAGCCAGGCAGCGCACCCTGGAGGCCCTCTCCCAGCTCCAGCAAACCATTGACCTGGTAGGAACATGACCTCTCTCCCCTTCCCTGTAGCTGCTATGGGTGACGGTCTCTGCAGCCTCCTGTGCTCAGTGCCGTTGGCACTGTTTGTTCCTAGGCCCAGCAGTGTTGCTGCAGTAGTGCTGCCTGCCTGCTGCCCAGAGCTCGCTGTGGGGGAGCTTCCATGGCCAGCCGCCTCCTGCTGTTCCCAGCTAACTGCACTCTCCTCCTGCAGATCAACCATGCCAAGCAGGCTGTAAATCAGAAGCTTCACAATGGCCAGGACCGTCTGTACCAGATGTGGCTCCAGTGCTGCAGGGGGAAGTTTGAAGGGCAGGAGGACCCAGACTCAGCAGAGGTATTCTCCTCCTCCTTCTTCTTGCCCTGACAGCCTTGCTCCAGCAAACTCCCCCCATCTGTAAGGGTGACTTTCAGATACTCCAGTCTGTCTTGCTTTCTCCCTCCAGCAGGTTGAAGTTCAGGCTCTTTCCATGTCCCAGAGCCTCACTGAGCAACTGAAAACCACCTGCCTTACTCTCCTGGGCAGCATTCAGGGCCTTCCCAGCACTATCCAGGACAAGGCCCAGCAGGTCTCGAGCAGTATAGAAGCGCTCCAGGCTTCCTTCTCCAGTGCCAGCTGTTTCCAGGATCTGTCCAGCAGTGCCCTTGCCCAGAGTCAGGAGAAGGTGACCAAGGCCCAGGAGTCCCTGGATGAGCTGCTGGAATATGTGATGCAGAACATTCCCCTGGACTGGATTGTGGGACCCTTCACTCCCGCTGGAGACTCCGCAGCATGTCCTGATGAGATGGTGAAGGAAGGAAAGAAGGTGGAGGCCTGAAGGGTTCCATTCCCCCTGTTGCTGGAAGGAATCTAGCTGAATTCCCTGCATAGCTAGTGTGGGGTCTCCTCGCTGAGGCCGTGGTCCTGCTTTGGCAGATGGTGGACTGATTTCAGCTCTTCCTTCTGCAGAATTAAAGAACCTGAATGTCATTTCCCCAGGCACACTTCCCTGGAACCGTTTATTACCAGTTATAGGGTGGCATCGCTAATCATGCAGGACTGCACCCCTTACAGGGTTAGTCTGCTTCTCTGAGGACATGGCTTGTAACTGACATACAGCTGTCTTCCTCTGTACATACGAAGTGCTGCTGAGCTTAGGGTTTTTTTTCTAGCTCTTTGTATTGTATAAAACTAGGGTTTAACTTCACAATAAACCTCAACTGCATTCAAAGTGCTGTCTGCTTAATGTGATCCCTCCCCAGCTCATGCTCTATACAAACATGTACAGTACAGGTGACCCCATCTGCCATGCATGTGCCCCCCCCCCCCCACCACACACACACCTTTTCTCTGGCAGGGCTCCAGAATGGCTGAGCTCATCTCCTGGGTGAAGGCATCTCTTCAGTTGCCTCCATTTGACACTCTTCCATTGAGACTTTTCTCAAATAGGAGTGGGTGGGTGAGATTCTGTGGCCTGTGGTGTGTAGGAGGTCAGACTAGATGATCATAATGGTCCTTCTGACCTTAAAGTCTGAGACAACAGCCCATTGGGAACACTTGTCTGGCTTCCAGTGGGTAGCAAGGCAACATTACAGCCTCTGAGACCAACTAACAGAGGGAAAGACCCAGGTGTTGGGGCACTATGGCCTTGAGAGGAAATGGGGTGTGGGGAGAACAGAGAACCTACTATTGGTAATAAGCGAAGTTAAAAGGATAACCTACAGTGGTGTGAGACTGCCAGGCCTTGCCTCTAGTCCAGTGCAATAAGACCAAGTACAGCAGCTACTTCAACCTAGATCAGAAGCGTCACAATGGCCAGGACCATCTCATGACAGCTGAACAGGTTGGGAGTGTCTAGGAAAAGAGTTGGTGATTTGACAACTTCAGACAACTGGGATTTAACAAAACACACACAGGGAGATAAGTTGCAAAAAATAGAGCAGCAGATAGGATCGCTGATGTCCAGGCTTCAGCAAGACTGCCTCCTTTCTCCATACCATTAGCCAAGCACCTGTCTAACCTTTCCTACTGCCTGGTGTAAACCTAGCCAGGCCACTAACAGTATAGGCACATGGCTCAGGGTTGTGGGAGATGCATAATATGACCAGTGCTGGGCTTTTAATGCATTTCCCTGAGAGCTTGTGTCTATACTTGAAGTCACTTGTGGAGTGTCATCTAGGCAGCTCCCTCGCTGTTGCTTATCTAGCTAGAGCTTGAGCTATTAAAAAGCTTCAGGCAAGGAAATGTCTCTCAGGTTCAGCAGTACCATGACCATTGCTCTCAATGATGGAGAAGAGTAACCAAAGTAGTGATGTAGCCAGCCATGTGAGCTGCTTACTCCTGATCTCATTGGACAGGGCCTGTCTTCTACTCCAATGGACTGGGGATATCAAGCCCTTCAAAGTCAAACTCCCTAACTGCCAGGGAGCGATCACTGAGGCTAATCTGCCTGGGTAACTGGAGGTGTGTTACAAACCCTGCTGTGCTCTGGATTAACAGAGGCCCCTCCAACACTCAGGGGGAGAAGTGAGTAAAAGCACTAGCCAGGTGGAGCCCTGCTTGGGTGAGTAGAGGTCCTAACCTGCTCCTTTTAAGGCTATGGAAGAGTAACTAACTACAGACTTTAGCTGTTCTATTCAGCTAATCTGTCTTCTGGGTTCAAGCCCTTTGCTATTTAGTCCAAGTCTAATAAAATGTGTGAGGTCAATGAGTGGATTTTCTTTACACCATGAAGAACATTGTAGCCTGCATTTCCCCAGCACAGCCCCTGCATAGAGGAGTGGTTCTAACACATCCCCGAGCCAGGGTCAGACCTAAGATACCCCCTAGAAACTGTTGCTGGACCAGTCTTAAGTTATACAAAGCAAATGCAGAAACTGACCCAGCCAACAGATGCGGTGTTTATGGCACAAGGAGCAGTGAGTTATTTCAACAGGCCCCAGCATGATACACCAACGGGCTCAAGTGTTTAATCCAAGGGCCTGTTAGAAGATCCAAGACATGAGCATAGAGATCACACCAGCTACACCCTAATGGTCTGAATGGGAAAAGGAAAGAGATGCTTCCTGCCCCCAGCTGGCTCTCTCTCCTGGGTGGTACCCCCTGGATAACTAGCAACTGTAGCTGCAGATACCCCCATAGGAAGACTTGCACTGTGCTCTGAACATGTTTGGGTTTGTTCTGCTGCCTGCATGTACATGTGGTGGGGGGCTATGGATGGAAAGGTGGTTTCTATGCCCTGAGTATGCAGTGGTCTCTGTGTGCTGGGGATCCTTGCACCTGTGCAGAGCCCTCTGGAACTCAACTACTCCTCCCAACTGCCTGGTGAAGCTAATGGGGGTCTGAGTAAATGCAGGGTCTGGTTTGTGCAGGGCTCACGGTAGGATCAGGGCCTAATACTGCCCCACTCTGGCACTTGCAGCCACTGAAGCGGAGGATCGTGTCTCTGGATGGAGGCCCGCTCACATCCCTCTGTGGGACAGAAACATGGGTATGAAAATCTAGGCTTGCTTTAAAGGAGTGACGTGAGCACCAGCCTCAGCCCCAGGCCTCTGTCACCTTCCCCAGCTGCTCCAGGTATTTGCACTCCCTGCTTTGATTTTACTCCATGTGTGAAGGGCGGTGGGGAGGTTATGGGAAGAAGTTATCCATGGTGTGATCTGCCATCACTCCGGCTGGGAAGGGGCCTGGCACTGAAGTAACTAGGCCAGGAATGATAACAGGAAGAGGGCAGAGCCGAGCATGACCCACCTCCCCACCCACACTTTTCCCAGAGCTTGTCTCCACACTTAGTCCTGCCCTGTGTCTGTCACCCCCAGCATCTCCCCAAATGCTCCCCCGATACCCCCTGAGCCTGTGGGTTCCATGTATTGAACTGACACTTATATTAGACTGAGTGCAGTTAGTGGAGATGGGAAATGCTATCAACAGCAAAGGTAAAAGGCACCCAGGAGAGTCTGCTGAGGAAATGCCTGTTGTTGGGACAGTGCTCATGACGGCATCAACTCATACACGAGCCAGCCACCAAACCATGGCAGAGAGATTGTCAAACATTTAACAGGCTCCCAGGAGAAAGCAAAACTCAGGTAATGATACCTGATGGAGTTGTTAGTCTGATTTCTTGTGCATGAATGGTACTGGGGTAAGGGCCAAAGGCCTCCCCCGGGACCAGAGCCCCAGTTTGCTGAACGCTACACAAAGAGATGGTCTGCCGGGAGAAATACCACACAGCATGAGCCAGCCCTGGGACAGAGAACGCACCCAGCCTCTGCCAGAGTGGACGAGGAAGCAAACAGCTGCAGCAACCACCCTGCTGCCCGCTGACCTGAACGCCTGGATTGAAACATGCCAATGAGACGGTGTGGAATTCCCTGGCTGATGGGCACTTCCAAAGTGAGGGCTATATTCATTGGCAGCTTGGTGGGCCTGATGCAGGCATATCACCTTGTCTATACCGGGGGGATGCTAAAGATTTTAGCCCCCCTGCCCGCTCCAGGAGCAGCCTGAGTCCTGTCTCGGCTGAATGCACAGGTGTATTACGCTGCTCGGCAGGCACCGGAAGCTGGAGGGTTGCCTGAGGAGAAGTGTCCACATGCAGTGTGTGAGGAGGTCCCTAGTGATATACACATACCATCCCAGGGGAAAACCCTGCGGTCCCGATCCTACACTAGCTCTGTGCTGCTGTGATCCGGAGCCCATGTGGTGGAGTTGCCCTGAAGCCCGCGCTCCTTTCCTAAGGTCAGCAGAGCTGCACACTGGCAGGGCCAGCCCATGGGCAGTCAGGTGCTGGATGTGGCCTACCCTAGGAAATGTCCCCTCAACACTCCACAGGCATCCCACCACCCTCTACATGAACCGAGGAGAACTCAGAGCCGTGGAAACAGTTTCCCAGGTCTCATATATCATCGCAGTGGTCAAGGCTCCCATCTGGAACAGCTGGGACTCTATCTAGGCAAACAACCCCCTATGTCAATCGTAACACTGCTATTTTCCAGGCTCCACCCCTTTCCAGACCTCAGCGGTCAGGGTAGAGAGCGCACCTTCCTGATTGCTTTGCTGAGCTGTCTGTCAAGTGGCCCCTGCCCTCTGCTGACATCATCACTGGGCTATAAAAGCTGTGCAGGGGCTGGTTTGTGTACTGCTGAGGGAGCTTCAGAGTGCAGGCTTGGTGAGAGATGGGCTGAGAGCTGGAGTTACACTGTGGTTTTTGGGGCTCCAGGGTCTGAAGTGTTGAGTTCTGGGGGGATTGTTTTGTTTGAGCTTGTCTGTCATTGGAATGGACCTTAAAGCTGTGCTTGCCTTGCCGTGTTTGGCTTTCAATTGCGAGAGCTGGAGAGTTTGAACCCCTTTCAGTTCTTGAGCACTGTTAGTGTGGGAAGTCGTGATGTTAGATGACTGGCCCGCTCTCCACTTTAGTAGGCAGCACTTGCATGTGTGTCTAGCTCTGACCTGGATTACTATTGGCAGAAAGGGAAGGGGGACGGGGCACAGAGACTGTCTGTTAAAGAGAACAAAATCACTCCTGGCCATGGCTGCTGTTCTAAGCTCCCAATGAACTCATGACAAGGAATAGCCAAGAGCCTGTCTCAGGAAGGAAGAGCTCTGCTCCCTCCAGGGGAAATGTCTTCTCTTGGGAGCCCGTCTGCCCAGCTTGGCCCTGGCTGGCCACGGCCACACAGTGCTGCTGTTCTGGGGGCTGCTGGAGCTCATCTCCTTGCACACCCTGATGCTAACTCTCCATCCATCAGGGGCACTGTGCTTCTCAAAGAGAATCCAGCCTGGCCTGGGGCGTGTCCATGGTTGGGGGGCAGTAGACATTGCCTCTCCCACCCCACCCCCATGTCTAAGGAGGTGGCACCCAGAGGCGGTCAGTCTGCTCGTGGGAAGGGAGAGGGGCCAGACATTAGAAACACCCAGGGCTGCTCTGCTCTCCTCTCCTCTCAGTCTAGCCTGTGTTGCTGCAGGGGTACTGCCAGCCCCTTCCTACCGCTCTGCCGGGGCTCGGCTCCTGGCGGGTGGAGTGCGTGGGGGAGAGGGAGAAGCTGACTCCTCCCTTAGTGCAGTTACTGCCCTGACCCTGCAGCCTGGCTGCAGCTCCTTGTCATGGCTCCGACTCCTGCTGGCAGGAGGAATTTCCTCTGCCTGGCCCTGTATCCTACTCACTGAGGTCTCCAGGGCCTGGGACAGGTTTCCTTGGTCCCAGCCATCAGTGTAGCTAGGACAAGCCAGAAAAGAAAGCTGCAAAGGGCCACGGCTTTCCGGCACTCCTGCATTACCTGGTCCTGCAGCGTGGCTTTCCTTCCTGGGGAAGCCCATGGGTGCCCTACTATGGTAGGCACTGACTGGCCAAGGGACTACAGCAGCTGTTAGAAATGAGTGTGAGGCTGCAATCTGGTGCAGCTGGAAGCCTGAGGCCTGCTGATCCCTTAACGGTTCCTCCTGGTTCTTGCAGTGACAACTCCCTTCCACATGTCTGGTAACGTGACTGAAATCCAGGCTGTCTGCCCTGAGCCCCAGGGACAGGAGCAACAGGTAGGTCCATGCTGGGGAGCTGGTGTCCCGCTGGCCTTCTGACCGAACTTCATTGTGGCAGAAAATGCTGATTTTTGCTGGAGTGAAATGTTTTAGCAAATCTATTGCGGAGTCAACAAAACTTTTGATGAAATGCAGGCAGGCTTCCCGTGGAAACCTGCCAGTCTCTGAGGGGGAGCCCGGCAGAGTCCTGGGCAGCCTGTCTGGAGCAGGGTCTCTGAGGTCTTGGAGGCTCCCACTCCACAGAGCAGCTAAGTGAAATCGATGTTCTTGTCGCTCTTATAGTTGCTATAACTGAAAAGGTCAATTTCCCAAACTTTGTTTCAAAACATCTTGGAGTTTCTGATTTTAACTGTGTGGCACTCTCTGGTTTGCAGAGAAGGTTTTTGTTGTTTGCTTTTCTTCCAAACTGGCTCTGGCAAGTGCTACCTAGAACTGTTCTAGAGCAGCCCAGCACTACTCACTGCTGCACTGATTGCAGATGATCACCCTGGAGCACAATGGGATTCGTGCAGGGGCCCTTCTCAGGCAGGACTCTTTCCATCAACTAGTTCTTGTGAAAGGAAGCCCAGAACTAGCTGTATTAATCCTGGCAGCAGCAGTGATGGGGTTAGCGCTTAGCTGTGGCATCCCAGCCAGGATATAATAGATAAATATAGCCCCCTATGCTGCTGGGAGCAGAGCTCTGCCATGCTGTACATTTGCAGAAGAAAGCAAGGATCATTCTGGGGATGTTGCTAGCTATTCTTGTTGAGCCAGCTGGGGTTATGGTGTGGGGGAGCAGAAATGGCCTGGGTTGGGGGAGCACTGAACCCTTCAGCACCCAGCTCTGTGGCTAGCTGGGTACAGAGTTAACAATCCCAAGAGGGTAACCGACTGAGGCGTCATTCGGTCCAGACAGTGGATGTTCCCCAACTGACTCCGTTCCCTCCCTCAGACTGTAGTGGGCAGGGTGGCTGACCTGCCCTTGGTCAGATCTGCCTGTGAGATGGCCTCTGACAGCTACGCGGCCACCAAAGAGACTCACCCAGCCATGAAAGCTGTCTGTGATGTGGCAGAGACTGGGGTGAGGGCCATCACCTCTGCTGCCGTCACCGGGGCACAGCCCATCCTGGACCAGCTGGAGTCACAGAGTGAGTAAGGGAGGGGAGACAGGAACACTCCTGTATGAACAGCCTGGGGTGGGTACCTGACAGATTCTGTCTCAGTTCACTCTAATGTCCTGGCAAACGAGTGTTTGTAGACAGTGCCCCTTTCCTGGTATCCTTGAAGCTGGACACAGGTCCTGGGACAAGACACTGGGCAGGTAACTCTCCATGGGGACTAGCGCTGCTCTGCAGGGATTGCTGTGGGGCAGGGCATGGTTTCCCCCTGTCCTAGGACTGAGAAGCCAGCTGAGAGCGAGCAGTGTCAGGCATCCAACCCTGATCTCTCCATGGCCATAAAGCCAATGGGGCACTAACCAGTCTACAAAATGCTGGAGTGATGCTTGCAGGAGCCTATTGAAATCCCTGATGAGCTAGAGTGCAACAGAACATTAATCTCAAGAGGTTCTGGTTGCTTCAGGGGGCTGTCTTGTTCTCCTGAGGGATCTTTGGGCTAGCGCTCTGAACCCAGAACTGGCAGCCAGGACCTGAGTTCTAATCCTGGTTCTCATGTGACTTTGTTGGCCAAGTTGCATAACCTTTTCCTGAGCCCCACATGACACATGGGAGGCTATTTACAACAAAGGGACATTGGGGCAGGGGGTCCCCCTGCCCAAATGCTTGCTGTGATTGAGCACATAGGAAGGAGTTGAGGGGAAACCACTCTGATCCTCTTCTAGTTGCAGCAGCAAATGAATATGCCTGTAAGGGACTAGACACCCTGGAGGGGAAGCTGCCGGTGCTGCAACAGACTGTGCAGAAGGTAAGAACCCTTCATCTTGGTTACAAAAAACACACATCATGGTTTTTGGGCAGATCAGTTACTGCCATATCTACTCCATTGATGCTGCTAAGTAGCAACGAACACTTTCTTGAAATCCAGGTTCTGTCTGGCGCTTCTTACAGCTGTAACACCTCCACAAGGAGGCCACAGTCAGCTCAATGGGGGGTGAATGCTGGTTAGTATGTTAGAAAGCTTCCACAGATGAGCATTAACCACTTGGAGGGAGAGATCCTGCCGCACTTCCAGGCTTCCCTTGCTATGCTTCCCTCCTCTTCTCCTCTCTTCTTCCCCTCCCCCCCCCCCCAACCCATCTCTTAGCTCTAGTGTAAGAGTGCCATGACCTCTCCTTTGACACCCGCCTCTAGGTGGCTTCAGATGCCCAAGACAGCATGCGTGCTGCAGTGGCAGGGGCCAGGGATGCAGTCTGCAGCATGGCTGGTGAGGCAAAAGATGCAGTGACCAGCATGGTGGGTGTGGCCAGAGAGGCTGTCCAGGAGAGCATGGAGATGACCAAATCTGCAGTGACCAGCAGCATGAACACAGTGCTAGGGAAATCTGAGCAATTGATGGACCACTACCTCCCCATGACAGAGGAGGAGCTCGGTGAGAATACTGGTGCTGGCTCTCCATGACCCAATAGCAGAATGGGGCTTTGTTAACCTCTGTATCCTACTCCTCTGCTCCCTCACGCTCTGTGGGGTAACAAGGGCCATGCAACCCACCTTGATCACATGGGCCTGCTGTCTCTTGCAACTCGAGAATCTGACTTATTTTCTGCCCAGTAGGTGGCAGCTAGTGGACATCCTGCAGCAAATGTTGGCAGCTGGAAACAGTTTACCATAGATCCTTTCTTTACATAAAATATGGTATTGGTGGGTGGAGGGGAATCTCCAGTCTCATCCAGGAGGCAGGGCTGGGAATGAATGTCCATGTACTGGTGTCCATGTCTCTGCCTAATCATTGATTTTAGTGATCCTCACCTTGTGTTTGACACATCAGTGCCTGTAGCTGGGCCTCCATAGCCTGGAACAGGATTCCACACACTGGGGTCTGACTCTGTAGTTCAGGTCTCATCACAACTGGCCATTTCTCCCTTGCTATATTCCAGCTGAGCTGGCAACCCCTATGGAGGGGTCTGGAGAGCAGAAGAGTTACTTTGTGCGTCTGGGCTCCCTGTCTACCAAACTCCGCCAGCGAGCCTACCAGCACGCCCTGGGCAAGATGAGACAAGCCAGGCAGCACACCCTGGAGGCCCTCTCCCAGCTCCAGCAAACCATCGACCTGGTAGGGCCTTTTGTCTTATTGTGCTTTCCCCTGTAGCTGCTCTAATCACTGAAGCTCAGACTGGGGCTTGCCAAGCTCTGCATGTCCCTGAATGATTGTATGAGCAGGTGGGGGTCATGTAGTGTCTGCACACAACTAGAATTCAAAGCCCAGCTGAGTGCCATGTAGTGCTGGGTGCATGGTACGGTACACCACTCCCATAGATGCAGGTGACACTGGTCTTTGGTGGCTGCAGAAGTCAACAGCTCCCTTCCAGGTGGAGGGTCTCTAGCCTAGTGGTATCACAGGTGTGGCACTGTCTGCTTCACTCAGCTTCTGCTGCTCCCCTGTACACAAGACACTGGGAGCAATACTGGGAGTAGCTCTTGTTCTCTGCTGTCCTGCACAATGACTGAACCCTTGTGTCCTCTAGATGGAACATGCCAAGCAGGCCGTGAGTCAGAAGGTTCATGATGGGCAGGAGAAGCTGCAGCAGATGTGGCTAGAGTGGCACAAGGGCCAGCTGGGAGGCAATGATGACAGCTCACCACAGCCAGAGGTATCTGATGGGTTGTACTCCTGGGGTGTGATCTAGGAGCCGTTGGAACCACTGATCTTCCTCCTCCCCCCCCCCCTCCCCCCCCCAACACTCAGCTGGGTTGGCCTTTCATGTTGCTCTGCTGATAACAGGCCTTGGAGAGGCTGGCTGTGAATCACCCACCACAACAGCAGGTGGCTCCACACACCCAACTGAGTTACCTGAGTGCTTTACCTAAGCCACTCATGGACAAACAGGAGGCCCCCCCAGCCAATTTCCCAGCTCCCCTGCTGTGCACCCCTACTAGAGCAAAAACCTAGAATTATACCATCTTATGCTGCACAGGGATCTGTTTGCTTCCCCCCTTGATGTGGGGAAGATAGGATTCCCAAACACTTCACTTTAAGATACACTGTTAAGATAAAACAAGTTTAACTACAGAAAGATATCACTTATAATTGCTTAAAGTCTAGCAAGCAGATTACTTAGCAAATAAACAAACACAAACTAAGCCTAATATATACTAGATATGGTTTGAATTAGTAATTTCTCACCCTGGTTTATATGAGCAGTCCACCAAGTTTCCATATGTAGGCTAGAAATCCCTTTAGCCTGGGACCAGCACTTCCTCCAATCTGCCTCTCAGGGATTTCCAGAAGCCCTCTTGTGTGGGGAGCAAGGCCAAGAATGTCTCTCCACATAGCTTGGAACAAAGGGTTCCCACCAAGTTGCCAGCCCAGTTTGTGGGGAAAAATACAGGTACCAAAATGGAGTTCGGTGTCATGTGGTCTGGTCACATGCCCTTGCATGCCTTGCTGAGTAATAGCAGCCATTACTCATAGGCTAGCTGAAACATTCCCAGGAAGGCTAAGCTCTTCCATGGGCCATTGTCTTGGCTGATGGCCTATCAGCCCTCTATAGCTTCTTCATTGTTGTACCTCAAAGGCTGCTTGTGGGTGTCTTCAACTTCACAACCTCTTCCAGTAACACATACATAGCATATACAGTCTGAGATATTAATGTTCAACAGATTGAGACTTTCAGAGTGATACCTTACAAGGCATACTTTGTACAAAATGCCACATAATCATATTACTATGGTGAATGTGGGGTGCAGAGTGTCACAGTATCCTTGTCCTCTTGCTAAGATGCAGTGTGACAATGCTGTATGTCACATCCTGACAGGAGTGAGCTTCACATGCATCTAATCACTCCCTCCTCTCTCTCTCCAGGAGATGGCGTCCCAGGCTCTAGCCACTTCCCATAACCTCATCCTGCAGGTGCAGACTGCCTGCCATAGCCTCCTGCCCAACATCCAGGGTCTCCCTGCCGCTCTCCAGGAGAAGGTTCAGCAAGCCTATGAGAACATGGGAGAGCTCCAGACTTCCTTCTCCAATGTCCAGTCCTTCCAGGAGCTGTCTGAGGGTATCCTGACCCAGACCCGGGAGAAGGTGACCAAAGCCCAGGAGTCCCTGGATGAGCTGCTGGAATATGTGGTGCAGAATGCTCCCCTCACGTGGATTGTGGGACCCTTTGTTCCTGCTGGAGACTCCACAGAGCCAGTGGGGGAACCAGCAGAGGAGAAGGTCACAGTCTGACGGTTTCATACCCATGCCTCCTCTGCCCCCATGCTGCAGATGTTTGTGGTGAACAGCATGTTGCACTCTTCAGTTGTTGCAGCAACTCTCATGGAATGGAGGCAAATCTCATCACCTTGATGATCCTAGCTGCACTGGGTCTGCTATTCTAATACCTTGGCTTTCTCACCTCCTCACTAGTTAGTGAATGACAGGATAACTTCTCATGAGTCCCAACTGTCTAGAACACCCACCTATTAAACGGGCCTTATGCCTTCTGAGGGCTTCCAGCTGTGACTCATGGTGACTTGGCTTCTAACAGCTGTTGATGGGTTTGCAGGATGGGAGAACCAGCTCAGTAGGTCCAACTTCCAGGCTGGAGAAGGGTGGGTCAGAGATGGGAACCCCACTACATAGGAATCCTGTGGTGTTGAGCACATGCTGGCTACAGGGGCTGACTCCAGTCCACCTAGAGGTTCTAAGGGATCATTTGTCCAGTATGAGGGCTCCACCTTGCCTTCCTCCAAACAGCGTTTAACCAGTGCTGCTAGTTCAGTTATTATGGGTGTTCCTCCCACCTCTCATTCCTGTGCTGGGTTTCTCTAAGGTAACTGTAACAAGCCTTGTTAATGGAACTGCATATGGGCTGGTGGATATAAAAGGTCTCTCTGCTGGTGACTAAACACTTCTGTATGTTAACACAACTAGCCTCTTCCACAATAAACACGAGCTGCTTTCAACAAAGGTCTCTCGTCCTTGTGTTCATCTGCAGATCTCTCCACGTGGCTCCCTGTCTTGCTATCCCACCTCAAATGTACCCTCTGACTGAGCCAGGTTCTGGAGACCAGCTCTCTCTGAGTAGGGCAGCCTGACTCCGGTTCCTTTGCTGACTTGCTGTCCTGGGCCTTCCCAACTCCCTAGGACAGGATCTGAGGGCTAACAATGCCAGGAAAAGGTCTCCCATGGATGCTGTTCTGCCGTTCCACCCCTCTGAAGACAATACAGGTCTGGAGTATTGTTCAGACCCTGGCTATGGGAATGATGCTCTGCCCGGGATCACTCAGATTTCTGGGGCTTGCCACTCTGCCTTACCTTCCCCATTTCTTAGCCTGACCAGTCCTATGTTGCCTTCCCTGAATCCTGCCACTCACCCTCTCATTGGCTTTATGCTCTAACAAAGGAGATGCTTAAAGCCTTCATGAGAGAAGCTAGTTTGGCACTGATAAGTGTTTCTAGTCGGGAAGGGTTGGTGGAACTTGGTCTCAGGCAGGATGATGCTAAAGCATCCTCCTTGCTACAAGTACTGGTGTAAAATGCTCCCCTGAAAGGTGACTGTAGTCTCACCCGTAACCCTCACCACCTACCTGGGAACTAGACCAGCTTGAAGACAATGCTCAGATAACTAGGTCCTCCCTTTGGTTTCTACTGCACTCAACCTGCCTGCATAGATTTCAAAGAAGCAGAACTTAGCCCAGTATGTTAACACAGGTAGAAAAGACACTTGAGAAATGACCCAAAGGAATTTAAGGGAACTCTTCTTCCTTCTCTTCCCCCCCACCCCCACACAATTGTCACTCTAACCAAAGCTACATACAGTATTTCCCTAGCTCAAATATTTGGTGTCTTTGCTGTGGTCAGTGTGGTTCCACATGAAGAATTCTTGTAATCTGAAAAAGAATGCTATTAAGGTTGCAGTGTTTCTAGAACTTCCTGGGCTTCAAAACACAACAACAAATCAGTCAGGCCTCTCTTTGTATAAACCACTTGTGAATATATGCTATAGCCTTCTTTAGCTCAAGATGTAGCACCTTGTACTTAAGCAGCCCTGGTTCAATTGCCAGGGTTTCATTGAAATTCAGTTCTGACTGAAAAAAAAATTCAATTAACCCCAAGTTGTGGCTTGCAAAATCCCATGCAATTAACTAGTGAAACACTTACATAACATTTTGTGAAAATGTCTCTCCTGTTCCCACCACTCACCTGTGAGAAAATGGAAAAGACACCACATGTACAAGAAAATAAGACCCTTTTATGTGCTATGCAGATGTTTCTCCTCAGGAAGTCTGCATAGGTGCTTCCTGGCCCATGTGACACAAGGCACTTGTGTAACTCTCAATTTTAACCAAAGGGGAAAATTGTCACAGCAACTGCAGTACCAGAATGTAGCCAACCTGCCAAGGAGTAGCAGAGAGACCTGTAGAACACATTTAAGAGTATTCCTAGACAAGCTGAGGCTAGTGATTATAAATAGGCTACAATTATAAATGGAATCCATGAGGATAGCCAGAAATTAAGTAAGGAGGCAACTTGGCTGGTCCTGGACCAAGGAAAACATCCCAGCCTTTCCCAAAATAGACAGTGAAGCAAACAACCACACAAAATGCCCAATTGCACTGAACAACAGGGTCAGCACCCTAGTGTGGAATGGGGCTACAGCCTCTAGGAAGCATATTCTGGGGCCTCCTATGGGAGCTTGGGAGACCTGAAATGGGCTGATTACTTTGTCCAAGTGCCATCTTTTAGCTATGCTGCCCTCTAGGAGCCAAGTCCTGCTGTGATGAAGTGGTCAGCTCTTCTGGGCAGGAATTATGAGCCCTAAGCATTCCCTGAGAGGCATTGTAACATCTAAACATCTAAAATTATGGCTCTCACTATTCCCCTGAGAGCCCTGCTGCCCGCACGCCAGAGAAATCTCATTTATTTTAATATCCCTGTTCAAATGAGCCAGCTGATGGCATATGATTTAAAACTGGCTAACTGATCGGTCTCAGAATGTAATTGTAAACAGGGAATCACCATGGAGTTGATGTATTTCTAGTGGGGTCCCATGGGGATCAGTTCTTGGCCCTATATTATTTTAACACTTTTATCAATGACCTGGAAGAAAAATAAAATAAAATCATCACTGATAAAATTTGCACATGACAAAAAAATTGGGGAAGTGGTCACTAATCAAGAGGACAGGTCACTTGGTACTAGCAAACAATATGCATTTTAACATGGCTAAATGTATATGCCTAGGAACAAAGAATGTAGGCCATCCTGGGTGAAACAGTGACTCTGAAAAAGATTTGGGGGATAATCAACTGAACATGAGCTCCCAGTGTGATGTTATGGCAAAAAGAGCTCATGTGATCCTGGGATGCATAAACAGGGGAATCTCGAGTAGGAATAGAGAGGTTATTTTTCCTCTATTTGGCACTGCTGGAATGCTATGTCCAGTTCTGGTGTCCACAATTCAAGAAGGATGTTAATAAATTGAGGAGGGGTCTGAGAAGAGCCAGAGAATGATTAGAAAACCTGCCTTATAGTGATAAACGCAAAGAGGGCAATTTATTTATCTTAACAAAGAGAAGGCCAAGGGATGACTTGATCCAGTTTGGACGTACCTACACAGGGAACAAATATTTCAGAATAGGCTCTTCAAATCTAGCAGTCAAAGGTATAACACCATCCAATGGCTGGAAGTTGAAGCTAGACAAATTCATATTGGAAATAAGGCATACATTTTTAATAGTGACGGTAATTAAGCATTGGAACAATTAACCAAAGGGTCACGGTGGATTCTCCATCACAGACCATTTTTAAATCAAGGTGGGATGTGTTTCTAAAAGCTCTGCGCTGGGAATTATTGTGGGGGCAGGTCTCTGGCCTGTGCTGCACAGGAGATCAGACTAGATGATCACAACAGTCCCTTCTGCCTTGGAACCTATGAATCTATAATATCAGGGCTCCATTAATGCCTGTTGTTTTTGTTAAGATGACTGAAGGGGAAAAGGCATTTCCTACAAAGCAACTCATTGGTCAGGGTGGAGAGTTCTGATTTCTTTCTGGTGCTGTCTGTCTAGGCCTGCCCTCTGATGACATCAGCACTGGTATATAAAGGCTGAGCAGCACTTGTATTCTGTACCATTGCAGGATCTCAGAACTGACTGGAGAACCTTGCTGAGGTAGGCTGTGGCTTTTATTGGAACAGCTTTGTTTACCTGTCTGTTGGGCAGAGGGGTTATTTGGCCTGTTCGGAAGTGTTTGGTGAAGATTTTTTTTTTTTGAGCTGTGAAATGTGTGGTTTTAATTTAACCTATTTCAGTGTATGGCATCTGCACTACTAAGAAACCAACTTCAGACTTTAGTACAGGCCTAGAAGGGAGATGCTTAGAGAAGAAGGTTCTTGAGTTTGTCTTGTGATCTGTGAAACCTGGATTAGTGAAGAGGAAAGAAGTGGAAGTCCATGAGACTTTTCAATCCAGAGTGTCATGTTAGTCCTAATGCTGCCTAGTCACCCTTCCTGGGTGAAACTCTTCTCTTCTCTTTTCCCTCCCCCCCCCCCAAAAAAAAAAAAAAAAAAAAACCCAACCACCAACCAAAAACTCTTAAGGTTTATGGCTTTGAGATCTTGATTAATCATCTGCAGATGGGGAATTACCTGCCTTGGGAAGCTGAATCAATTAACCAGTCTTAATCAATGATCTTAGTAAGGCAGGGCTAATGAGAAACAAGGGGAATATGATCATAGAAAAGACAAATTTGCTTCTTTAGGTGAAATTCTGATGGGGCTTTAAATCTCTGTATCAAGTGGTCTTACTCTCTAATTTCTGGTCAATAACTCTGGTGCCTCTAGCTAGGGGACTTCACAGTGTGAGGATGGGAGTCCTTAACCACTTAGAAATGGTCCTGTGGTGATGGTCACAGGGTTGCTGTCTTTTTCCAGGTGGATGTTTACCTTCCATTAGGCTTGTTTTCAAGCTTAGTAGCTGGTATCTCATGTACTTGGGGGAACTCCTCCCTTCAAGCTTGTCTTCCAACTCTAAACCGGTCTTTCTCTGTGAACCCCACATGAGGGGAAATGCTATAAACAAGGCAAACTGCTTTTGGTCCCCATTTTGACCATATTTCTGTATGCAGTGTAAGAATGAAATCCTATCATTTGATCTCCTAGCTGCCTGATGGTTGGTTGGTTGAGCTTGGTTGGCTGTATAATCTCATTTCAATCTTTTAATGATGCTGGACAGTTTTATTAGCACCTGCTGGGGGAAGGAATTGTGGGTTTCTTGCTGATTGTGTGCTGCAGGAATCTGATCCAGCAACTGCAGAGAGTGACACTGCTGTTGTCACTCTAACCTACACAGCCTTCATAGACCTGCCTGTGCCACTACCTGTGGGTTTGGCCACCCCGCTATAGCAGGAAAGTGGCATGACTGAGCTGCTGCATTGGTTGGCTGGCTCTAGTCTCTTAGAGTAAACTAGAGTGGCTGAAAAGGTAACTGGAGAGATCTCTCAATAACTCTTCCAAGAGGACTCTGCCTTGGGCAATCTAGGAATGATCAGAAGCACTGTCTGCATTTAAACTGTTAGTCTGGGCACTGCTTGTCTCTCTTGTTGGTAGGCTAACCTCTGTGACGTTCTCTCCACCACAGCATTTGGCTTCACCATGTCTTCTAACGAGAATGACGTTAAGGATGCTCCCTCAAAGAGTGGGGAGCAGGAGCAACAGGTGAGAGTGTTGGAAATCTGGCCAGTGAGAGCATGGTTCTATCGGCTCTTTTAGCCAGTTGTAATCCTATAGTGACCACTGTAGTGGCTCTAGCCCCAGGCATATGGGGGTGGCAAACCAGCCTATGCCTAGACCTATGTTGCAGAACAAGAAGCACCATCAGCCCTCCTGAGAAGTCCAGGTTCCAACTTGGCTGGTAAATCCAGATAGCTAATGTGGCCCACAGTAGTAGCTAACCATCACTCCGTCTGTGATCGGAACACAGTGCTGCCCCTCAACATGACTGAGCCTGGTTGCACTGAGGCCTGCCCCATCCTAGGAAGTCACTACACCATTAAAGGGCTCTCCAAGCAGTGGCTGAGAGACTTAATGCTCTGGTGTTACTGTGTCTGGCCTCCTTTGCCCAGGAGGCTACAGACCTTCAAATCTGAA